TTTGCACTCTTGGTGCAGGGTAGCTTTTGGCTTTGAGGAATAAAGATGGGATTGCCCTCAGACAAAAAGAATTCACAGCTGAGATGTTCTGGAAGTGCTGTGCAACTGCTATGTATGGCTGGGGTACCCGTGTGTCGTATTCGCTTGATTGTTAAAAACAAAAGGAAATTCAGTTGGTATTTCTGATTAGCTGCTGCAGAAGCCATTGTTGTTCTGTCACATTGACCTAGTGCTTGAACTGCAACAGTATGTTGTGACTCACCAGTGCTGTGACGTGCCATCATGTCAAGTGAACATTTTTGTCTGGTTTTAGCTTTTCTGTGATAGAACTTAACAGATGATTGGTAACTCAAACACTTGATTCATAAGAGAAATTGCTGTATTTTGAAATGTGAAACTGCATGTTAAAAAAGGGATTTTTTTCCTGAAAAAGCATAAATGCACAGAAAATGTTATTTCATTAATAACTTCAGTGCAAATAAATGTTTTATTTATGAATTTTGCCCTCAATTGAGAATGTAGGGGTTTTGGGGAAGAGTTTCTTGTTAATAGATAGGAGATTATGTCATCTTCTTAGAGGTTGTGTGGTATAGCAAAACTTGATGGCATGTCATACTGTTCTTTTTTACTTCCTGCTGCTTTTTCCTTTTTACTGGGTATAATTTTTGTTATGGGGAGACATTGTGCAGCTTTGCTTCTGCACCCAGGCCTGTTGTGAGATGAGTAAGAATTAGCTTCACTAGGTTTAATGCACCATGATTCATTACTGTTACAGAATTATATCCAGCAAATCATGTTGGCTGTGGCTGACAGATCTTTTAAAAATAATAATTATTAAACGTTCTTTGCGCTGAGGTGGTGGGGGGAGATGTCATCTTCCTATGTTACTAAAATTTGCGTTTGTTTTTTTCACCTGAAATTAAGTTGTGTGACAAATAGGTTTTGAGCCATTCAGTCAAATGACTTGGAGTAACTGGGATGAATCCAAGCAAAAGAAGTAAGAAGGGTAGAAAATCTTTAAAGTATCCCTTATTGTGAAAGAATAATACAATGTTAGGATTGTTTCGAGCCTAGAGATGAAAAGTGTAGGCAGGACTTGCCAAGTATTCACATTTGTAAGAGACTTTTGCAAGTAAAATGATCTGCTGTTCCTTTCTATGGCAGATGGTCAAAAAAGTACTAGAAATGAATGGCACAGAGGAATATTTAAGTATTCCTTTAAAGACAAACCACCAAACAAAAAGGATGGTTGAGCACTGAGAAAGATTAAGGCAGAATCTGCAGAATCTTCCTCTTGGGGTCTTACATAGCTTATTGCTGTCTCTGCCCTGGAGCAGAGGGAAAACTTAAGTCCCTTTTAGTTTCCTCCCATCCTCATTCTTCCAGATCCTGAGGTCTCCAAAGCTGTGGTGAGGTGTGCCTTTTGTACTGAATGGATGGGGAGCCCTTTTTTACAGGGGATGAATGCTCTAAAAGTGCAAATGTTAGGTCAGCTTCTCTGTGCTGAGGGGCAGGGATGGAAACTAACCTTTCAGAATGAACAATGATGGATGGTTGTCTCAATACAACTTGTCATGATTTGAAGAAAGTAGAGGAAGCAAGAAGAAGCAGGGGAAGCATTTGATTTTCAAACACAATGGAGCCTGGGATGTGCTGTCACAGAGTGTCATTGAGGATATTTTTTCTAATAGTCCATAGGACATTCCAAGACACCTGATGGACATAAAGTGCTCAAATTCTGGTAGACTTTTCTGAATTGGCAGGGACAAGGTTAATAATGTTTGTCCCGAGAGAGATGGGGGCTGGAGGATAAGAAATACTGACAGTATCTATCTAACTTTGTCTCATTTCCATAGCTTAAGGTCCGTAAAATGAATAGAAAGTTAGCATTGTGCTATTGTGTTTCCCAGTGACTTAGGAGAGGCTTCACTGAAAATCATTGGTGTCACTGCAGAAGACGATGGTATCTACACTTGTATAGCTGCAAACGATATGGGTTCGGTTTCATCTTCTGCCAGTCTACGAGTTTTAGGTAGGTCTGCCTCTTTGCTTTGTGTCTGATTGCATTCAGTGTCTGGCACACAGTACAGGAAAAAGAAAGCCCTGGCTATTGGGCATCCCCCTGTTGAAGGAGCATTGTAACAAACCTTTCCACCTTTGGCAAACTGCTTGTTGCAGCAGGAAGAGATGCACTTTCAGGATGTCACTAATCAGAGGTTCAAACAGACAAGATGCCTGAACAGTACTGTCAGGGTGCATTTACCTTGTCTGTCAATACTAATTCAAACATACTAGGATAAAATCGTATTTTATCACCTGCATTCTTAGTTTAGTCTCAATTAATGTTACCATGCTAACATATAATTTCTAAAGTATTCAGATAAAAAAAAGAGGAGCCTTGCTCTGTATTTTAATGTACTCCTTTGCTCAAATTGTAAAGCCACAGTGTTTTGGAGCACATATAACTCGTTCTTGTCTTTGCGTCATGGATCTACACTTAAATTACATTACTTAAGTACCTGAAGTGAGCCAGCCTGAATGTTTGTGAGAGAACAAAAAGGAAACCCACACAGATTAACAAATCCTTGTGTTTTGGAGGCAGACAGCAAAGTAAAAAACTATATTTTTTACTTGATATGCTTGATGGCTGTGTGTGTTTGTACATTCCGTTATTCTTCTCTTAAGTGTTCAAGATCCTCCATTTTATAGAATTCGGGAAAACACAGGGAGACAGCATGATAGCAGGCTTTCTTACATGCTATGTTTGGACCAACTGATGCTATCTGGGTCCCTTAATCTACTGAGAGGCCCTATATTTATCCATTGGTAAAGAATTAATCAATAGATTTTAGGTGGAATGGCTCTGTCTCAAGCTGACTCAAATTTTAAGTGCTGCATTCTGCCTTTGTATGTCTGTCCCAGCTTATGTGGGGACTTGTACAGTTGTCCCAAAAAAACCTTTGCCATTTTCCTGGAATGTTGAAGCCAGCATGTGAAAGATATATTCGTTCCAAAAGTTCATCTGAAATTTTGGGGGGTTATAATCAGTACGGCCCCTTCGAGCTGTGCCTGTTGGCAGCCACAGTAAGTAAGTGCCTTACTGCCAGCACACTGAGGTGATTATTCCTGGCACTTCCTGCTCACTGACCCAAGACACCCCGTAGTTAACCCCTAGGATGAGTGTGCTGCAATATATAAAAGAGGTAAAAAATAAAATTTTGTTCTTCACACTAATGCTTCCTGAAAATGAGAGCTGCTTTTTTTTTTTTCAGGTAGCTGCTACATTGATCACTTTTTTTTTTTTTTCCCCAGTGACAAGTACATGATAATAATAAGACATAATGTAAGATACCTATTCTTTGTGCTGTTTCCTTTAACTTGCCAAGGTTACTCATTCCTGTACCGGCAGTTCCCACTGCACCTGAGTTAATTCCACTATAGCATTTGTCCTGCTGCACTGGCCAACCTGCTTTGGTGTTTTGGCCTTGCTACCACCCTGTGTCATATGGGGATTAACGGGGTGATAGCATCTCAGCCAAGAAAACTTTCTAGTCAGGAGTTAAAAAGCTCTTGATGGAAAAGATCCGTGTGAAACTGTGAGCTTTAAGGAACTATTATAATGAGTGTCCTTCCTACACCAGTACAGAAGCCCAAAACTATGATTTGGCCAGAATCAGTCACAGAAGTCTTGTAGACTAAATTACCATCTTTCAGCCACAATCCTTAGTCTTACTGAACTTGTCCAGAAGTAAATGTTCACTTCTCAATCAAAATTAAACCAGAATTTGGTATGCTGGGTAACTCTGCAACTAGACTCCAAAATTCAGGCAGCTGTATTTTGCTAGCCCATCTACTCAGCTCTACCAATACTTGTACAAAGAACTTCTTCCCCTTCATTTCCCCAGTCCATAAGAGCAAAATGAAAACTTTAAAGCTGTAGCACAAAGTAAGATTTCCACATCAAACTATGTCGTCTTTTTCAATACTTTGGACTTGAAGGACTTGCCATTTTGACTGTAGTCAATGCTTGCACATCATCTTGTGCAAACAGTAAAGGATACTCTTTGCCTTATGTTGCTGTAGTAGTCTTTATAAATCACAAATAACGTAGTTGATGACAGAAATTACTTCCTTTCTGAGCTGTAGGAGGATGGGCCAGATGAGGCCATGAGTTGCTTTTCAATCCAGGCACACTCAGCTTCCAAAGAAGCATGATAGGGGCCAGTCTAAGTGAGGCAAATTCATCCTGAAATCTATTCCCAAACTGAATATGATGTCCAAATATTTATCTTTCTGCAAACATCTGAAACAATACATTGGATGTAATGACAACAATTTGGTTCTGAAGAGGATCTGAGTATATTCAATTTTGGACATACTGTCTTTCTCTGTTTTTTTTGTAGGTCCTGGAAATGATGGAATCATTGTAATCTGGAAGGACAACTTTGATTCCCTCTACAGTGAGGTGGCTGAGCTTGGCAGGTGTGTTCTATATGCTGATCTCCAAGCTGTCTATGTCAAAATATTAACTTCTCTTTCAAAAAAATGAATTTCTCTTTGAGAAATACTTATCTTTTGAGCCTAAAAGGCCAGAATTACATTGAATTAAACAGAAATAAGGAAGTGAAAATTTTACCAGCACTAGATGGCACTGCATAAAAGGAGCATATTTAGGCTGAAGCAGTATTGTAGATTAAGGGAATTTTTTTTTTTTTTTAAAGCATGCTTTACAATGGCTGACACTGCTTCTGTAGTGAAGCTCTTGTGAACCCTTCTGTTCAGGGTGTGAAAACTACAAACTGAAAAAGTTTTAAATGCAGCAAAAGATATAAGTTACGTAGAATATACATTAGTCCAACTTAATGATCACCTTTGGAGGCTGACTTGAGTTCTCTGCAGATGTGATCAGCTCTTGATCAGGAAGTAATGTTTGATACCAACACATTTTGTAGAAGATACATGCACTGAAAACTTGTTTATGTCTGGAAACTTCTCTGTAAAGGTACCTTATTAGAGATCTATAATTAGATCTGCCTCAGAATATCTTTCAAGGTAAAAGTGTGCACATAGTGCATTTCTCAGTTAATTCTTTCCTTTCAATATTGTATTCCAGGGGCAGATTTTCTGTCGTTAAGAAGTGTGACCAGAAGGGAACCAAGCGAGCAGTAGCCACTAAGTTTGTGAATAAGAAGTTGATGAAGCGAGACCAGGTTACCCATGAACTTGGAGTCATGCAGAATCTCCAGCATCCCCAGCTCATTGGCCTTCTCGATACCTTTGAGACCTCCACCAACTACATACTCGTGTTAGAAATGTGTGTGGACTCTAACATTATCTGTAAAATGCAGTCTCTACAGATGACTTTCTGGGGCATTTATAGTAGTTATGAATAAGGAACTTTTAAGATCTCACAGAAGTTTGAAAACACTAAGTTTTCAAGTAAATTATTGCAGTTGTCTGATGCTGTTATTAAAATGTTGAGTTTAATATGCAGAAGGAAACAAGCTGAGATATTAAACGGATATGGGCATGATTATCTTAGTCTGAAGATCCAGAAATTATTTTATATCAAGTGGTTGCACAAGGAAATTGGGAATATTGTGATCTGGTAGCTTGATATCAAATCTTCTCTTCATGCCCTAGTCTTCTGTCTTCTAGGTGCTGCAGGCTACAGTTATTCCTGCAGTCTATGGCCCATTAGGTTTTTCTTTCAGTTCTAATACATGGATTAATCCAAAAGATAACCTTTGTAATTCCACTAGGGCCGACCAGGGTTGCCTTCTAGACTATGTCGTGCGATGGGGAAACCTCACGGAAGGGAAGATCAGACTTTACCTGGGAGAGATTCTGGAAGCTGTGCAGTATCTTCACAACTGCAGAATAGCACATTTGGACCTAAAGGTAAGGAGTGAATGAGATTTCTGGCAGTGTGCACCATTCCAGGCGTAAAAACCTCCCTCTTCTATGAAACCTGCAGCTGGGAACATAGAACTGTGAATTGCTTAGAGACTATATGAAGGGTATGGGTCAGGGCTCCAGCCTCAAATGCTTTATATGACACCAAAATAGCCAGCAAAGCAGAAACTTTGAATTCCCTGTGCTTTCTTAGTAAAGCCCTGTGTGGTGATTTGTCCTAGAAATAACTGTTGACAATTGTGGTTTAGTTTGGTTTTTGTTTGTTTGTTTGTTTGTTTGTTTATTACTTTCAGAGAAACTTGCAGCAGAAATCCATTTCTTCCTCAAGGAGTGTAGAGTTTGTTGTGAAAAAGACTGCTTTTCCTCTCTTCCTGCAAATCTGTTTTTCATCTTTACACTTTGAGGGCTGTGATATCTATGTGACCGGGACCTCTTTAGGCCTCTGTTCTACCTTTTGAATTTTACTTGAGCCACAGCAATTAATGCATTCTAGTAGGAAAAGCTATATAAGGAGGTCTTAATGTGAATATGAATTAAAAAATTATTCTTTATTTTTTTTTCCATCTGTATTTGAATAATAAGGAATTTTAGCGCTGATAGCTCATCTTTATAGGTGGGGTCTCTTTAGTCAAAAGGGGTCATGGTGAGAAAAATCAAAATGAGCCTGCATCTTCCCTCCACATGCTTCTGTTTCCCAAGCAGAACCAGTCTGATCTGCATATCACAGAGACCCAAAATTTAATTTTTTCTAGTGCTGCGTGGAGTTCACCAGTACTTTTTCCGGTCTATGAGCACATACAGATTAACTAATTAAAAACTAGTTGTGAGTCACTTTTATTTTGATAAGATCACAGCTACAGCAGCAGGAGCTTCAGAAATAAAGCCATAAAAAAAATTCCACTCAGGTTACCAGTAGTGGGGCAGTTTTCTTGAAGCCATGTGCACCCAACAGGATCTTCTGCTGCCCTAGTCTCATAACAGGCCTTGGCTTCCATCTGTATAGCTGCTCTACATTAAGGAGGCATCAAGTAAAGCTGAATTCTCTTGAAAGCACCATGAGAATTCTGACAAGGTCTTCCAGTCTTTAAATGCAAGGGGTTTGTTGTCTCTGTCATAAAGAAAATAGAGCATTTGCTTTATTCTCCCTCTGTTTCTAATGGCTGTTCTTTAGGCTTAAGTTCCCAAACACAGGTTCCTGTGAAACTTTGCAGAGATGCTGTTGTGAACATCTGCAGTATTATCTGGCAAAATTATATTTCCTGCAAAAATTATAGTGCCAGCAGCTAAACCACATTCAGTGCACGCCGTATTTGGCAAGAAACTGCCTGCTGGTTGATTGGGGGGGAAGCCCTGGTGGGACTGCCTGTGAGCTTTGCAGAGCTGCCCTTCAGCAGTGATGTGTAGCTTGCAGCAGTTTGTTGTGTTCTTGAGCTGACAGCACTGTCTGGGAACCAGTAATGCTGGAGCATTAAATGTGTGTTAGCCTGACTTGTGAAAAAGACACTTTAACTTTTGCTTTTATGTTTTCTAGCCTGAAAATATTTTGGTGGACCAGAGTTCCACTAAGCCAACGATAAAACTGGCTGACTTTGGAGACGCAGTCCAGCTCAATACCACGTATTATATCCATCAGTTACTTGGAAACCCAGAGTTTGCAGCTCCTGAAATTATTCTTGGAAATCCTGTTTCCCTCACTTCAGATGTTTGGAGCATTGGAGTGCTCACGTACGTCCTTCTTAGCGGTGTCTCTCCTTTCCTGGATGAAAGCGTAGAGGAAACTTGCCTGAATATTTGCCGCTTAGACTTTAGTTTCCCAGATGACTACTTCAAAGGAGTTAGCCAGAAGGCCAAAGATTTTGTATGCTTCCTACTTCAGGATGACCCAGCTAAGCGTCCCTCGGCTGCACTGGCCCTCCAGGAGCAATGGCTGCATCTGGGGAACGGCAAAAGCGCTGACAGCATTGACATATCCAGACTGACTTCGTTCATTGAGCGGCGAAAACACCAGAATGATGTTCGACCCATCCGTAGCATTAAAAACTTCTTACAGAGCAGGCTCTTGCCAAGAGTTTGACCTTGCCTGAAGTTCTCTCTCATTCTCTTTCACCTGCCAATCAGACCGGAGATGGACTCCCTCTGCCAATCAATCAGACTGGAGATAGACTCCTGCCAACCAGCTGTTGACTTGAATTTTGAGGAAAGCGAGCCCCGAGGCGA